CTGTTTTTATATTATTTTTGTTTCCCTTCCCTTATGTTTATCTGCAAAACTACTATATTATTCTTAGGAATTTTTTAATTGTTTAAGAAATCTTTTTCAACCTAAAGACAGTTACAGTGTCACCACAGATTATGTTAAGAGAATTACTGTGTAGGGGTGCCTGGGTAGCTCATCGGTTAAGCGTCAGACTTTGGCTCAGGTCATGATCTCACAGTTCGTGGGTTCGAGCCCCGCATTGGGCTCTGTGCTGACAGCTCAGAGCCTGGAGCCTGCTTTGAATTCTGTGTCTCCTTCTGTTTCTGCCCTTCCCCCACTCACACTCTGTCTCTCGCTCTCAAAAAATAAATAAAACATTAAAAAAAAAAAGAATTACTGTGTAATGCACTCATCACTGGATTCACCAGGGAAAAGTTGGTACAGTAAATAAGACCTTTCTTCACTAACTCATTCTTTCTTTTCTCCCTTTTAGGAATTTTCACTAGAGAAAGCCATGCATATAATGATAGGAACCTGGGATGATATTGCTTTTCATATAACTCCATATCGTGATACTGGAGTCTCTATTCTTTCTTCAGTAGATGAGATTCAGACTCTCCTTGATGATCAAATTATAAAAACTCAGACAATGAGAGGCTCACCTTTCATCAAACCATTTGAAAAAGAGATCAAGGTATGTCAAATATGATAGTTTCCGGTTATTTATAAAAGCTATAAGCTTGGGGTGCCCAGGTGGCTCAATCAGTTAAGCGTCTGGCTGGATCTCTCAGCTCCAGTCTTGATCTCAGGGTTGTGAGTTCAAGTGCTGTGTTGGGCTCTATGCTGGGTATGGAGGCTACTTAAAAAAAAAACAACACCCAAAAACTGTAATCTTATTACATATATATTAGTGCGGAAATAAGTCAGTTTGTGGATAGCTTTGGGTGAAATATAGGAACGGATATTTAAAAATTAATGTGGAACCATATAGAACAGATCTGAAACATTAGCACCCACAAGATATGAGTAGCACCCTCACTTCAACAGTTGTGACAAATGTAAATGTCTCTAGACATTGTCAAATGTCCCTTGAGGTGGAGGGTGAAATAGTCACCAGGTTGATAACCACTGGTATACAGCAGGGTATTACTGGATGCTTTTCAGACTTGGGATGATTCCCTAGAGATTAGGAGTTTAGTGTAAGTAACTACAGTCAT